AAAAAACGAACGAGCTGGTCACGTGCCTTAACAGGCCAAAACAAGAAAACCCACTCTCTAGCGTGAATCTTAAAGCAAGTAACGCAGACAGTAGACGCGTGTCTCAGGACTGAGATTTAACAGTACCGAATTATTTTTTTTTGCAAATTGCGTGTCAAAATGTCTATTCTTACAAAAAAAATAGATCTTCCTATTTTCTTATAAGAAAGTAAAAATGTAAAAATAAAAATACAAGTGACAACAACTTAATAACGATAAAATGAGAAAAGAATAATCTAAAATAAAAACCCCGCAAAAAAAATTTACCCTGCAAAAAACAATCTAAAATAAAAAATGAAAATGTACGCGTATACACAGAGTGAGGTGCACGAGTGAGCTTCCTATTGTACACACAAGCCCAACAAAAAACTAAGAAAATACAAAATGTCTACATGAAAGACCTACGAAATCGCTATTGAGGAGTACTCTTTCCAAAAATCACTCCCATCTTCTCAGATTGTGAGAAGTGGAGTTTATCTTTTTTCGTAGATCCATTTTATTCAAACACATTTTATCTCTTACACTGTGCATTCAAATCTCGAACCATTTCACCGTTCAATTCCTCGCGTCGAGATCTTCAAAACCAAATTCCATGCTGATAGATTTTGATTAACCTTTTTTTTATGAAATAATCAAACCGGGAGCATGCTTTTTTCCCATATAAGAAATGAGGCATGACCGTCCCTTTCGCGGAAGAGAAAAGACATGTTTGTTTCTGTTTTCGAGAGTCATGCCCGTGCCTCTCGCAGAAGCAAAACCGTGCCTCTGACAGAAGGAAAAAAGGAAACACGTTGTTTTTTGTTTTCGTGCCTCTCGCGAAAATAAATCCGTGCCTCTCGCGGAAGTGAAACCGCGCCTCTCATGGAAGCAAAACTATGAAGGAGCGCTCCTTCATGAGCCTCCCCAACGGTCACTTGTGGTAGGCTGAGAGAGCGCCATTTGGCGCGCTCTGGGCGTTTCCTCCGGATTTTTTTTTAATTTTTTCGCACGCGTTTTCGCTGTTTTAGATTATTTTTTCCGTGTGCTTTTTGGGTTTTCGGCTTTTTGCCAAAAAAATGTGCGAAAGGACGTGTTTTTTTTCTTTCGCAAGAGGCACGATTTTGCTTTCATGAGAGTCACAAAAAAAACACGTTTTCTTTTTCTCCTTCCGCGAGAGGCACGGGTTTACTTCTCATGGAGACACGGATTTGCTTCGGTGAGAGGCACATTCATGCCTCTTTTGAAAAGGAAAGAAAAAACTTGCTCCCAGTTTGTTTTTTTCGTCCTGCTTTTTCGTTAAAAAAAGTTCGTCAACATCTATCAACATGAGATCTATTTTGAAGATCTTGATGTGAGAAATCCAACGGTGAAAACGGTTTAAGATTTGAACTCATGGTTTAAGAAATAAAACATTTTAAATAAGCAAATCTACAGAAAAAGAAAAAACTCTCAGATTAGGACAAGTGACGCACATAGAAGTGGTATTTAGAAAGAGTAATTCTTAATTAGTGATTTTCAACAAAACACAGATAAATCAAATTGTACAATAAATCTGGTCGACTGAGACATAGCTAATTCTCATTGGATCGAGAATTAGCACAACCAAAAAACTAACGCATCTTATATTTTAGAACTGAGGATACATGGTGAAGCATCGGAACTGCCTTAACATCTTTAGAGAGATCCAAAATGAGGGAAAGAAAGGAATTCTAGGCATATATCAGATCCTCCTCGCGAGTGATTCCACCTCGCCATCAATCGAATCTCCTCCCATGTTGGAATCATCTTAGATAGAGATTCTTGGCAAAATAAGACTATCAGTCAAGAGCTATAAAAAGACCAAAGTATTATGTCAATCAAGAGCTATAAAAAGACCAAAGTATTTTATTCAACATAACATGTACGTACTATTTTCAGGACCACTAAAAAGCTATTAAAACTTCTGGAGGATGCTGGCGCGGGCTGCTTCCTCGTCCAAGGCAGTGCACAACACACATACTCCTCCCACACCGATGACGGGGCAGCAGTTTAACCTCAAGCCTCCAACTCCGACGGATCCAAGCATCCATTGGCTGACATAATGGATTCTCATCAGACCGAATCCGAGAGCCCATTGGCTGACACAATGGATTCCGCTAGATCAAATCTGACCTTAGTCGGGCGCACTTCTCACACGAGCAGCGAGAGCCTTGCGGTCGACCAAATCCTCCTCGCCCCCGCATGGGACGATGTCCCAGTCGACGGATCGGGAGTGTCTGGATCGGGTCCACTGTCCGCCATGCCGGAGATGGCCGGAAGAGAGTTTGGGGGCCGGAGTGGAGTTGGACGGTTAGAGTTTGGTTTGGGATGCGGATGAGGACAAATATATGTGGGGTTTAGGTAGGCTACCGTGGATCGGACCCGACTTGCCGGACACACCCATGCGCGTTCGAACCTCTTCATGTCGCCTTAGATTTTGGGCTGGATACGAAGAGTGTCGGTCAATCCAGGCATATGGGACCAATATGAGATTTTTTTTATCGATTAGTGAACAATCCATCCGTCGGGCGTAGGGAGGGGGTAGTGTTGTGTTGGGCAAAGCTCAGTCCGACACATGCTAATTGTGGCAGGCACGACACGGTCCACGGGGGCATGTTTAGTAAGCGGGTCATGCGGTGCCGGCCCACGTGTTGCACCTCCAGGCCCAGGCACAGCCTAGTTTAGACGGGCCGGCACGTTGGCCCGTTTAGCCGGTGATGTGCTTGGCCCATGGCGGGCCGTGCCGGCGTGCTCGCGGGATGGCCCGGCCCATTTGAGGCTAGATGATCTTACTAGTACTACGGCTTTGACAGCCACTCACCTCCAACGATTGTCTCAAAAAAAAAACCTCCGACGAATTTGAAAAGGAAAAGCCGGAGTCCGACCTCCGATTCTTGTGGCGGCGAGTGGAAATCTGGATTTGCCGGCGGGCAGGCAAGGTACGTGAGGCGGCGGCGGCGCCGCAAAACTTTATTCCGTCTCATGCATGCCCACTCTCTCCACCCTCTCGTCGTTTGATCGTTTCTCTGCTACGCAGCGCCGACGACGCCCACCGTCTGTTCGACGGAATGCCTCCTGGTAGCGAGGACGAGAGTGCGCCCCTGAGCGCCACCGACCGCATCGGTGCACTCCCCGACCATATTCTCCACCACCTGCTCTCTTACCTCCCAGCGCAGGCAGCCGCGCGGACGTGCGTGCTTGCCTGGCGCTGGCGCCACCTTTGGAAGTCCACTACAGGCCTGCGCATCGTCGGCCTTGACGATGAGGAGACTGTCCAAGTTCAAGACCTCCGGAAGTTCATGGATCATTGTCACGCCTTCCTCCAATTCGGCGGACAGCGAGTCGCCGGCTCCAGACTCCCTGACAAATGGACCGGCGAACGACGATGACGTGGACGATGAATAGTTACTGTGAGCTGTCGCGTGGGTGTGTCCCACCTGTAAGTGTAGAGTGGTATAACTAGGAGATGAGCAGTGGTGCTCGGGGTGTGTTGTAATTGAATCCTGTGAACCTTCTCATCTTTTCAGCTGATAATCTCATCCCCTTTCGTCTGATATCTCATCCCCTTCTCCAAGCTATCCTCTGATCCCTAGATCTCCAGATCGGGACACCACAATTGGTAATCAGAGCCTGTGATCTCCACGCCCAACCAGATCAGGAGGAGTACCGGCCGCGTCAACCACGCCATGATTTTCCACGTTTCCATGGTGAGATGCCCCTGCTTTGGATAGACCAGTGCTTTGACGTACCGAGTGCCTGTTCATCACTGGGTCAGTACTGCTACTCTGTACTTGGATGGATTGGCTGCGATGTGGTTTCAGGCATATAAGCGTTTGCATAGACGTCTCACTTGGGATGAATTCACGGGTGCTGTGGTGACTGAATTTGGGCATGACGAGTATGATGTTCAGATGAGTAAGTTGCAGCAGTTACGGCAAACCACTTCTGTGAATGAATATAAGGCCCAATTTGAAGAGTGTATGTATCATTTGCTTTCTCTGGATCCAACCATGAGCACTCGCTGGTTTGTCTCTCAGTTTGTCTTTGGATTACGAGATGAGCTTCGTGGACCTGTGAGATTGCAGGCTCCTACTAGTGTTACTTGCGCTGCAGCTTTGGCAAAAATTCAGGAAGAAGAAGTGGAACACATACGACCCAGAAATCGTCCTGCAGCTCCAACAAAACATCCACCACAACCTGTAGCAGGTGTGGTGCATACACCAGCTCTGGGACGAACAGAATTGCCTCGCCGTCAGGGCAATGATGACTTTAACAGGGAACGGCAGATCCGTGATTTTCGGCACGCCAATGGTCTTTGTTTTAAATGTGGGGATAAGTATTCCAAAGAGCATCAGTGTAAAAGATCAGGTCAGCTACTCACTATTGAAGTTGGAGAATTTGGTGAAGTATTATCAGATGATGCAGTGGTTGCCCTGGATCTCTTGGAAGAAACAACAATACCCACTACTTGCTATCATCTTTCTGTGCATGCTCTCGCGGGAACAGAAGCTTTGGAAACAGTTCGCATTGGTGCTTTAGTGGAAAATCAGGTGATGCTCTTGCTTATTGACTCTGGCAGCACACACACGTTTGTAAATAAGAGCTTTGCAGAGCGTGCTGGTTGCACTATTCAGTCAGTCCCAACAGTTTCAGTTAAGGTAGCAAATGGACAAATTTTGTCATCTGATGCTCAAGTACAAGGGTTAAGGATCTACATTTGTAACTGATATGAGGGTCATGGAGCTTGGGGCCTATGATGCCATATTAGGCATGGACTGGCTAGAGCAGTTCAGTCCTATGATCTGCCATTGGTCAGAAAACATTAACATTCGATTATTTGGGAAAATCTATTACACTGCAGGGTGTCCTTTCTAAACCACAAGAGTCACTCCGGGAAATGTCTGTGGAACAGTTAAATAAGTGGATTTCGGGGAATGAGGTCTGGGCCATGGCTATGATTGATCCTATACAGCAAACAACAGAATCTGTACCCAACATAGTGCAATCAGATATGCAGTCTTTACTCGAGGAATACCATGATGTTTTTGATCAGCCCACTACTTTGCCACCGCATCGTGCCTTGGATCATTCGATCTCGTTAGAACCAGGAGCTCATCCAACAAACAGTCGCCCCTACCGGTACTCTCCATTGCAAAAGGACGAGATCGAACGTCAGGTCTCGGAAATGCTTGACTGAGGGGTGATTCAGACAAGCATGAGTCCGTTCGCGTCTCCGGTGCTGTTAGTTAAAAAGAAGGATGACACTTGGCGATTTTGTGTTGATTATCGTCGCTTGAATTCCATAACTTTGAAGAACAAGTTTCCCCTACCGGTCGTTGATGAGTTGCTGGACGAATTGGCTGGCACTAAATTTTTCTCCAAGTTAGATTTACGCCCAGGATACCATCAAATTCGCATGAGGCCAGAGGATGAAGAAAAGACAACCTTTAAAACACATCACGGCCACTTTCAATTCCGAGTGATGCCATTTGGATTAACGAATGCGCCAGCCACATTTCAGTGCATTATGAATCTCATTTTTGCTAAATACCTCCGCAAGTTTGTGATAGTCTTCCTGGACGATATCTTGGTCTACAGTTCATCTTGGGCAGAGCATTTAGAGCATCTGCGTCTGGTGTTCGAAACACTTCGTCAGGCTCAATTCTTTGCTAAGTTATCCAAGTGTTCTTTTGGGCAGAACAGTATTCAGTATCTTGGTCATATTATCTCTGATTCCGGTGTTGCAACCGATCCCGAGAAAACAGTGATGATGGAACAGTGGCCAATTCCTAAGACAGCAACTGAACTACGAGGATTCCTTGGCCTAACAGGTTATTACCGTAAATTTGTTAAACATTATAGTTTGATTGCTAAACCATTGTCTCAACTTCTGACCAAAAAGGGTTTCTACTGGAATGAACAAGCAACACAAGCATTTCTTGCTCTGAAACAAGCTATGGCACAGGCACCTGTCCTGGCATTGCCCAACTTTTCCGAGCCCTTCACCGTGGAAACTGACGCTTGTGACACTGGAGTGGGGGCAGTGTTAATGCAGAAAGGGCATCCAATTGCATACATGAGCAAGGCTCTTGGGATACTTAACTGTAAAATGTCCATCTATGAAAAAGAATTCCTTGCTGTGATTATGGCTGTGGATAAGTGGCGTCCTTATTTACAGCGCGGCCCATTTCAGATAGTCACCGATCATAAGAGCCTCTGCAACCTAGAGGATCAAATTTTGACTACTGATTTGCAACGCAAGGCAATGGCCAAGCTCGTGGGTTTACAGTTTCAGATTAAGTACAGAAAGGGCAGTTATAACGGTGCTGCCGATTCCTTGTCTCGAGTGGGCCATTTATTGGAAGCACATGCCATTTCCACCTTGCAACCTGATTGGGTCCAGGAGGTTTCCAATTCCTATGTCACTGACACAGTGGCCACTCAGTTATTACAAGAATTGGCAATTCAATCTCCTAATGCAAAAGGTTATGCATTGAAGAAAGGCCTAATTACTTACAAAGGCAGAATGTATATTGGTGCAAATCTTGCCCTACAAACTAAGCTGATAGCAGCTCACCATGATACTGCAGTGGGAGGCCATTCAGGTATTCAAGCCACATACCACAGATTGAAGCAGCTGTATTATTGGCCAGGTCTTAAGGTTGCCGTGGAAAATTATATCCATCAATGTATAGTGTGTCAACAAGCAAAACACACTAATACAAAACCAGCTGGCCTTCTGCAACCCTTGCCACCCCCCGACAGTCCTTGGACTGAATTGACAATGGATTTCATCGAGGGTCTTCCTAATTCAGAGGGTGCAAATTCAATATTGGTGGTCGTTGACCGCTTAACAAAGTATGCTCACTTTCTGCCCTTGCATCATCCTTTCACATCAACTTCAGTGGCCAAAGTTTTCCTGGATAATGTGGTGAAACTACATGGTATTCCCAAAACCATTATCTCTGATCGTGATAAGATCTTCACTAGTAAGTTTTGGAGAAACCTGCTGCAATCCATGGGTATTGAGCTCCACTACAGCACCGCTTACCATCCGCAAACCGATGGTCAGAGCGAACGAGTAAATCAATGTTTGGAGCAGTATCTTCGTTGTGCTGTACAAGACAATCCTCGTCATTGGCGTCGTTGGCTATCCATGGCAGAGTTCTGGTACAATTCCAGTTTTCATACTGCTCTTCAATGCTCACCATTCCAAGCTTTGTATCACATTGCCCCAAATTTTGGAGGAATGCCTAACCTTACCGTGTCCAATGACTCGCCAGCTGCTAGTGTTGTTATCGACTATAAGGCACAGACTGAACTTTTGCGTGCTCAGCTGATACGAGCCCAACAACGCATGAAGAGCTATGCTGACAAGAACAGGACTGAACGTCAGTTTCAACCGGGTGATCAAGTTTTGCTGAAACTCCAACCTTATGCCCAACAAACAGTTGTCAATCGTCCATATCCCAAATTATCCTACAAGTATTTCGGTCCCTATACTGTTCTGGAGCGCATTGGTGCTGTCGCATACAGACTACAATTACCAGTTTCAGCTCGGGTACACCCAGTCTTTCATGTGTCCCAATTGAAGCCATTTACTCCAAACTACACTCCTGTGTATACGGATATTCCTGCCGTGCCGGATTTGACAACAGTAGCACCGTACCTGTTGCAATCCTTGATCGTCGGATGGTACGCAAGGGCAATGCAGCAGCACCTCAAATTCTCATTCAATGGGCACATGTTCCTCCAGAGTGTGCTACCAGGTAGGATTACTATGTCGTCAAAAGCAGATTTCCTGAAGCTCTTCTGTGGGACGATGAGCAAGCTCAAGCGGGGGGCAATGTCACGCCTTCCTCCAATTCGGCGGACAGCGAGTCGCCGGCTCCAGACTCCCTGACAAGTGGACCGGCGAACGACGATGACGTGGACGATGAATAGTTACTTTGAGCTGTCGCGTGGGTGTGTCCCACCTGTAAGTGTAGAGTGGTATAACTAGGAGATGAGCAGTGGTGCTCGGGGTGTGTTGTAATTGAATCCTGTGAACCTTCTCATCTTTTCAGCTGATAATCTCATCCCCTTTCGTCTGATATCTCATCCCCTTCTCCAAGCTATCCTCTGATCCCTAGATCTCCAGATCGGGACACCACAATCATCTCCTGGTCCTGCGTGAGCGCACCGACCTGGATACCGTTGAGATCAAATTCGATCTGTTCAATCATGACGACGAGCCCTATGTGAACCTATGGACCCGTTTTGCTGTGATTTGCAAAGTTCAGGTGCTCACCCTTCATATCCATGACGAGCTTGAGTACCTCGACCTAGAGGACCTGCCTCTTGTCTCTCGGCATCTGAGAACACTGAACCTTCATGGTGTAGCCCTACGAAAGACGTTTGTTGATTTTGCTAGTTGTACAGCATTGGCAAATCTGAAAATAGATGATTGCTTCATCAATTTCAATGAGATATCGTCCTGTTCCCTGAAGCATTTGAGCATCACTAGCTGTCAATCTGATTTGGATTGCCGGGTCCGTGTTTCTGCTCCCGGCCTTGTCTCTCTGGAACTAGAAGACTTTATTGGTATAACCCCTTTGCTTGAAGACATGGCATTACTAGAAGCTGCATGTGTGAATCTTAGCGTTGAATGCAAAGATGTCTGTTTGAATTATGACTCTGGTGTTTTCTGCGGAGCTAATGATAATACATGTAAGAATTGTGTTCCTGTTAGCGACGATTGCAGCAGCGATTGTGTGCTTCTGGGTGGTATCTCAAGTGCTAAACACCTCAAGTTGATATCTGATACTGGAAAGGTATGCCACTTGTCTTTAACTTCTTTATGCAATCCCTTTCTGTGTTGCACTATCTACATCATTGCTGGATATAGGCAATAAACTGATCACATATGCATCTTGATTGTTTACTTTTGTATTTTCTTTCCAGTTCATTTTCACAAGAGATTTGAAACATTGCCCTACATTTAGCAAGTTAAAGACTTTATTACTCAACAAGTACTGGTGCGAGGCTCCTGATTTGGATCCACTATCTTGCATTCTGACAAACTCACCAGTTCTCGAGAAGCTCACTCTTGAACTTTCTCCCGAGGTATAAATCTTCTAAAATGGGCAATTGCTGCACTATTAAAGTTATTATCGATTATCCATCTTTGTTAAATGTTTGTGTGTACCATAGGCGCAAAATCCTAAACTGGAGATAAAAGGAAGCTACTGTTGCATGGAGAGACCGTCTGCAATATTAGAGCACCTCGACATAGTTGAAGTCAAGTGTGATGTGATCGATGAGATAATTCTTAAAGTTTTGAAATTCTTGTGTGCATTTAACATACGTAAGTTAACTAATGACACTTGGCATGCTCTCTATATCCTGAAATTAGCTTTAATATAAGCGAAAAATGTAGAAAGCATGCAGTCAATACGAAACTTCTGAATTATGAATGAAGAACAATTTGTAGGGATTCCTTATTGTTTGAGGCATGAAAAATCTGGACCACGTCTGGTGATGGGCAGAAATGAAAACTAATATAATCCATTTTGTTGTAAATAATGTTTAATCTATTTGTGTTGTAAAAACTGTTAGTTGTGGACTTGTTGATTAGTTGTGGTTTTGTGGGTACTAGCACAAATGTTTGATTCTATTAGTTCAGGGTGGTTGTACAATATCTTCACTTGTTTCACTTGTTGATTTGCACTGAACAGTAACTCAAATGCATAGTGATACAATATTTTGACTCATTGTGTTGTTGGATGATTGGTTCTAATCAGTGGCAAACTTTATGGTCTAAAGTTGGCACTTGGATTGCTTGTGATTCTGGCACTTATATTATTCCCTGTTTTATTAGACTTTCCTGGGGAGTCTTTACAGTTTGAAAATATTTTCTTCAAAAATAAGTCTATACATAACATGTCTAGCAGTGTATGCCATGATTTGCTTATTCACATTTCCTTTTCGATGAAATTGATTTTAACATTTTCTACATTCTCATTTGGGAGCAGTTTAACTAGATGTTCTCATGTTAGATTATCAGCTAAAGAGTTTGTGCCCAAATTAATGTTAAAATAAGCTACACCTGCTAAGTGAATCTCCATCATACATTCATATTTCTGTTGTCGAGTAACTGAGCTTTTTTAACACTAATGCAGAACACCAGACTCTTACATTGTTTTTTCATTTCTGTGCAGGATTCAGTTTCGAGTAAGGGTAAGATCTTGGTTGTTGTCGGTCTTCCATGTCTCGGCCATTGGGAAATTCAAGGCTTAAGCATATATAAGCATCTTATGCCAACTCTACTTAGACGAACGATGTAGAATCCCCACTATATAACTTATGACCTGTAGACCATCTTGCTGGACTTGGTTTTATGGTATCCTGTTGCACCTAAGCGTTTCTTTGTTGGCTTGTGCCCATGCATGTTCTGTTATGATGGATCTGTATATTTTGTCTCCTGAGCTAAGACATGGATGTTTGGAAAAGTGAAACAGGAGGTGTAGAGTGTAGAGTTGCGCACATATGTTGCACTTTGACTAGCTGCTGTTGATTCATTTTTCTGATGTTGCTATATCTAGGCAGAGAAAACTAAAAATGAGCTACAGCTCTGAACTTATGTTACCAGCAATGGGAGGGATACACAGCAGTTGCTACTCTGAGTGATCTCTGCCACCCGTTTTCTCATTCATCTCTGCTGCTGGCACCTATGGGAGCACGGGAAAGGCGTCATCTTAGACGACAAAACGCTGACCTATGGTAGTGACATCTGCTGCTCAAGTCGCAGGGTGCCCATGCTTGGGTCGCTTTCCCTGACATGAGGTGTAGTTAGGGTCGCCTCTCCTTCCCACGTGTCTGTTCTTTCGCAAGGTCTGTCACGTTTGTAGAAACATCTTGCTCAAAGTTGCCGTTTTCAATACAAATTCACATGCTCTCTCTCTTCCTCTCTTATATGCTTCAGTATAATGGTCACATGAGCCGCCCTACGTGATTGTGACCCATATGGTGAATCATATTGCTATGTGATGAACAATTACTTTATGATCAGATCATGATGTTTGATTAGAATGTCTATAGATGTATATTCCTGTTCAATTCATCAGTCCATCCATTTGCTAGTTTAGATGTCTCACCAAGGTTAATTTTTTTGCATAACTCCGAAGTGGCTATGTCTGCCATCCTGTAAAAGTTTGAATCTAAATTTGATCTACAAAAAAGACAAAAGTAAAAACAAATCAAAAGGCGAATAGTGTCACAAAAAGATAAAAATACAAAGACAAAATTTCAAACACTATTCATAATTGGATTGGCTTTATGTTCTATGTGTAGTTTGAATTTGGATCTAAAAATTCGTGCCTAGCTAGGTTTGCATGGTAGTAGATGGTAGATCAAGAACAACCCCTGTACCGAAATCACCAAACCACAGGATATAAAGGCAACAAGCACAGGATATAACAACCACACTATGCCATGCCACAACCAGAAACCAAGGAGATCATAGAAGGGTCGAAAGTTGAAATAGGGACGGCATGCGCGAGAATAATGTTTCCTCCACTAACGGTTATTGAGGATCGGCTAGGTTCCGGGTTTTACTTCTCTACCCGTTATAGCTATAGGGGATCAGTTAGAGTTGCCCTTAGCAGGCAGAGGATAAGAAAGGGTTGATCAAGCAATCGGTGAATAAAAGAGAAAAATTACAACCACATGAGCGACCTCCTTACGTTATGTCCCCAAATGGGTGCTCAATGCATTTTGTGCCTGCGATATGTCACTTTTAAACAAGTTAGAGACCTCGGTGACACACATAAACAAGTTTTAATGGCCCTCCGTGCATTTTACTTTTTCTTAATTTCAGTTTGTTTGGTTTTTAATTTAACCCGTTTCTTCGGTTGGTTTTGCGCATGACGGCGTTGCGCTGCGCGCAAGAGGCGGGAGGGAGATGACTAGTCCTATAGTAGTTTGAAATTTGCAAATTGTCTTAAGGCAACATTATGGAAAAGACAACTCTTACAAAATCATTTATTTTTTAGTGTCAGTCAATTTTTTTTTTGCGTGTGTCAGTCAAATTACAATAGTGCCTCCTTTCAGCATATACAGGTATAGCTTAATTGAACCAAAATAATAATTTTAATGGATGATATAGTAGTCCTGTGCAAATATATCCATATCATTCACACACACACAACAAACTCGGGTCGTGTAGTTTTCACAGCCATTTCCTTACCGCTGCAACTGCAAACATTGCACAAAATATATTACCAACAAGTAGTTCAATAAATCATCCGATTTGCTCATACATGGAACTAACTAACAATGCTTGACGATCTGGAGTTCTGGACTAGACATGGAAGGCATATAGCACATGCAAATTTGTGACGGGATCATCAGGCCTGCCATTTAGCTCGACACGATTAAACGTGACATCCCCAAGATCATGCTGCGCCATGAGCAGCCAGACCAAGGTGAGTAGCTCCCCTCCTCTGGCCAGCTGCGCTGCGTGAAGCTCCGTCCTCGACTTGCCGGCGGCGTAGATGAGAAGCCTCACCCAAATCCCGGCAAGCTCCTTGATCACCTCCTCTCGCTGCGCCATTGACCATGGAAAACAATCATAATTGCCATAATTAGCCTTGAGATCATCTCCAGTAGCACGCAGAATTTCATCCTTGCTCTTCTTCCTAGTCGATGTAGTAGCAGTGGCTGTTAAATGCATGTCTAGAGCAAGCTCGAGACTGATGATAGAGGTGACCTGCAGCAAAGAAGCAGCATCTGGGTGGGCAGTAATAAGGTACATCATGTAGTTGGACAGCTTCTTGCACATTTGGGCGGCCGCAATTGCGTCGGCGCTGTATGATTTCATGTCATCTGCACTAGTCGACGCCAAGATAACCTCAGTGACAATGTGCAGCTGACATACGGCAGAGAGAAACGCCGTGACAAATGTCGATCCTAGCTTCTGCAGAAACGGCATCATATGTGGCCACTGCCGAGGCTGTTGGTCATCATCATCCTCATCATACTCAGATATGATGGTTCGTATCTCCCTCAGGACACACTCCATGAGCTTGTTGTCCACAGTCTCGTACCTGCAATCTAGCCGCTTGCTCACCCAAAACAGCTTCTTCCTTACATCTTTAACGCCGATTGCTGTCGCCGCCTTCCTCATCAGACTCATCACCTTTTGGGACAATGTAGCTGACTCATCTTTGATGCCCATGTAGTTTACACAGCTATACTGCCCAATTTTTCCTGACCATTTCGGCCTTGTCACTGATAATCTAGTAAGAGACCATGAAATCCTAGCCAGCCTACCGTACCTTCGATCCTCCAGCCACAACCATGTCCAAGGTGAAGCCATCAACACAGTAAACACAGCACAAATTTCTAAAAGAATTCCTCCGATAAATAGGATGTAGGTGATGACAATGTCAGCCTTACCATACAACCTGCTTGCTGCTTGTTTCTTGCCCATGACACCAAAGATCACAAGGGCAACAACAGTGGACAACTGAGAGATTAAACGTACTAAAATACCACTCCTTGTTCGAAGTAAAGTAGCCTTGGTGTATATATCATTGTACAAGAGGCTGAGCTGTACATCCAACAGCTTGGCCACAAGGCCACTGTCATTAAGTCCAGCTGGGTCGAGATTACTGGGTTTTTCTCCTATTTTGTAACTCGCCGTACGCCTTTGGAAGTACTCATACTGGACGCTCTGGTCTGAAACTAAAGCATAATAAACAAGCTCATGATCTTTATCACTCTTGACCCGTTGTAAAATCCTCTCTTGATCATTAAGTTTAAAACCAGGTTTCCTATTGTCATTCTGACTCGCGTACATGAGAGCCATTGTTCGCTCTCCATACTTGATTATTCCGGCAATGAACAAGAGAAGAGCAGGAACAAGAAGCTGCACATTATTGCGCAAGCTAGTCGATTTCCAGAATACATACAAGGCCAGGCTAACCTCTAGGACCAAGTTCAGCAAATGCCTCAACCACAATTTGTTGTCCTCCATGGAGAAAGCAGTGATGGTATCCTGCCCACCGAGATGAATGAGGAGGAAAGGAGTCCAAAAGAAAACCAATGGGTGGGTTTCCATTGTGCCATTATCCTGATGTCTTGAGAGGTACCCTAGGGCATAAATTGCTACCATGTCTGCTCCCAGATATGCTAGCCAAATGGTGCCCCTAAGCAACCCATTGGTGCTACCCTGTCGAAGGCTACCAGTGAAGAAGAGGAACACTTGTAGAACGAAGCTAAGAAGCACAATCAACTGGATTTGCCACAGATTATACAGTTCCAACAAGCTATCCATTGCTAATCTCAATATTTGCTATGTCACTGAACCTGGAGATACCAAAGAAGAACATATAATTAATTTTAATATGTATGACTTACCAATCAAACACATGTTTTCCCAAACATGTTAGTATGGAATTATATCCATATGGAATATCTTCTGCACTAGATGAAAAGCGTTCTGAGGTACCATTGAGGTTGAAAGCATAGCTTTAGAGGCAATATTTTGCAACACAGGTGCTTACAACTACTCATGGTTCTATAAGTGTGGCACATGCATGGCTATGTATGGTTTTGTAAATGGTCATTACCATTTAAGATAGAGGCACAACTATAGTGTAAATTAGGTTGTGCTAAATACTCACCCCTCTCATCCAGATTCGTAGCTAAATGTAACTATATTTTGGGACAGAGAGTAATTGATAAAAATGTTGATTTGTTATGGTATGTCGTTCGCACCAGCAGTTGGACAACCATTGAAGGCTAGTCTGACCGACAGCTTCGCCAGTCTGAATAACAAGGGGCATGGTTAGACCAAGAGTAGACTCGAGTGGTTTGTTGAAGGTACTAGTCAGAGTAGGTTCTAGTTAAACCGCTTAGAACGATGGTAAGGCCGGCAGGGTCCTAGGCGATCTCGGTTTCTGTTGGCTTTTTGGTGAATCCGACGTGGTTTTCATGTTTACGATTTCTTATTGATTTATATGTGTGTATAACAGTATAACAAAATAGTTGTACTCACAAGTGTAGAAACAATATAATATGGTAGGTGGTGACTTGCCTTGCTCAAGGTCTTCAAGAATATTCAAGATATCTGCTTCCAGAGAATATTTCGATGACGGAAACTACACACAACAATCAAAAACCTACACAAAAAACAAGAAAAAGATTCCATTTAGAACAATTAATATTGCCATTAGGTAGATCTAAACTGTTTTTAGAAGAAAAAAATGCAAGTGGATGATGGATGAGGTCAATGGGAGCTACAGATAACTACATATGAATTTTGCAAGACTAAATGATTTTTAGGACAAAGAAGGATTTACTTTAACTATGGAAAAGAATATTCCCAGGGTACAAGGGCCGGACCCACATGTCTGTGACCGGTTCCAGTTGGGGCCTTGGGGGAAGCGCCTGGGACACCGCCGTTGACGGCAACAACGGCGGAACAATGACCCTGTTTGGATAAGCTTTTCTGGACCTCGCTTATCTGGCAAGCAGGCTTTTCTGATAAGCCGCTATCTAAAGAATCTGTTGTCTGAATAAGCTGCTATCTATAGAATCCATTGTCTGAATAAGCTGGGTGTTTGGCAATCCTGATTATTTTCATTCGATTGTCTGTCTCAAGTGTTAAAATGACCAAAATGCCCCTGAGTCTGATAATAGCTCCATTTTGTTCTGAAAACGAGGGTAAGTTAATAATTATAATATCTTCTGAGTTTCTTTTTGGAACATATAATATCTTCTGAGTTTGTTAAGTAGAAACATTACAATAATGTTAGTACATACTTACAAAAGTCCAAATTTACCAAAAGATCACTAAATTGGACTAAAACATCTACAAGTACCATCCATCTACCAAAATTGAGAACCAATAGCAAGAAAATTTACATCTACCAGTACCATCAATCTACTAACAATATATGAATCTTGGCACTAACAGCAAATCCCTAACCAGGCAGGACCTCATCTACAAGGTCAGGACAGATTTACCTCTTCTTGGAGGCCGCTGGGAGAGGGAGGCCGCTGCCGCCGGGCCCAAATGGCAGCGCTGCGCCGCGGACAGCAGGGAGACCACGGGACGGCGACCGACGGCGCTAGGACTGGAAACGGCTGGAAGGTGGGCGCCGGCGCAGAAAAACTAGAGGAAGCAAGGGCGCCGGCTTGGATCTACAGGAGGCCGATGGAGGGGCGCCGCAAGAGGACAGGGCGACGCGGCTCTTCGCGATGGGAGCAGCGGCGGCCGCCGCGAGGAAAGGAGGGGGCGCCGCTCCTCGTTGCTTCTGCCCTCGCTCTCTCGCTCCACCAGGCACCGGCAGCCCCCGGTCGCGCCCCTCCGCCGGCAGCTCCTCACCACGCTCCTCCACCGGCGCTCCCCAATGTAAACTCCAAGATCATTAAGTACTCCCTCACTAAAGAAATTAGTGATGTAAACCCTCTTATATTTCTTTACAGAGGGAGTACTACAGTAAGCACATTGTTTATGTTTAGATCTACACTGCAGATTGTAGGTTGCTCAAAGACTAATGGAAGGAGAAGCTTGTTTAGCTCAAAGACTCACCGAAGGAGAAGCTTGTTTAGCTTGGGCTTGTTTAGCCTAAAGACTCACTAAAGGAGAAGCTTGTTGAGCTTGGAGTGGAGCACATCCTAACTCATAGAACTATTTCAAATGTGTCAAATAGGTCCTTGAACTATGAAAATCGTCAGATAAGTCCTTAAAATGCAATATGTGTGCCATTAATATTTTCAACTATTTCAGAAATATCCATAAACTATTTCAGAGGTGTCACGTAAGTACATACTTATTGCACTTCGAAAGGCCTTCGAGGATCTGGATGACACTTTTAATAGTTCAAAGAACTACGTGACACTGCTGAAATACTTTTGGATCCGTGATGCACTTCATTCTTTAGTTTGATTATACAATAATGGCAAATGGATCGGTTTGATTAGATGGACCTTCAGTATTTTGTTTTAAATGTGTTGTTTAGTAATTTCCTAGACGGGTTCTATAGTGCAATCGCAATCTGCTGACAATTTAAAATACATTGGGTTCAGTATCTCCTTAGATGTGGAATATCCTTGAAGTGCTTCATTCTTCTCCAGAGGCAGATCAGGTAGATGAATAGCCATTTATTTTCTTCATGCAAAAGGAAACGGGGTTGCTTGTATCAAGAGTCTAGACTACACAGTATCTTGTTGCTTGTTGGTTGGCTAATTTATGATGTTTACACTTGATGGGCAAACTGTGGTGAGGAGACATGTCCAAGAGCAGTATTCAGTTACAAGCTTAGTTGTCTAGTGTTCAGAATTAGTTGTAGTTCAGTTTTGAGATACATGCAGTCATTGTATTAGAACCTCTGGTATAATCTCTTTGAGATACATTCAGTAGCAGGCTCGCAAGTGGCCCGCCACTAACTTGCGCTCCCCCCCGGTATAAATATGTCGTGGTGGGGGGCCAAAATTTCACAAGTCTGTTTTCTCGCAAAGTCTTAAACGACAAGACGCAGGGTGATGCCAATGTTGTGATCTCTTTCCTCGACATGAGGGGTAGTTAGGGTTGCCTCTCCTTTCCATGTGTCTCTGTTTTCTCGCAAGGTCTCACATTTGTCGAAACATGTTCCTCAAGTTCCCGTTTTCAATTCAAATTCACATGCTCTCTCTCTTCCTCTCTTATATGCTTCAATGTAATGGTCACATGAGCCGCCCCACGTGATTGTGATTGGTATGATGTAATTACCATGGTGAATCCTATTGCTATGTGATGAACAATTAGCTTATGATCAGATCATGATGTTGGATTAGAATTTATAAACGTATATTCTTGTCCGATTCATTAGTCCACTCATTTGCTAGTTTAGATGTCTCAGCAAGGTTTTTTTGTGCATAACCCCGAAAGTGGCTATGTCTGCAATCCTGTAAAAGTTTGAATCTAAGTCCAGCCTAGAAAAAGACAAAGTAAAAACAAATCAAAAGGCGAACAGTGTCACAAAAGATAAAAACACAAAGACGAAATTTCAAACACTATTATTAATAGTTAGATTGGCTTTATTCTCTGTGTAGTTTGAATTTGGATCTAAAATTCATGTCTAACTAGGTTTGCATTGTATAGTAGATGGTAGATCCTGAACGAAATCACCAAACCTGAGATAGTCGGCACCAAATAGAGCTCCAGGGCTTTTAAATTCGTTCACACATCAGTTCAACCAATATAGAGCAACAACCACAGGATATAACAACCTCCCACGGCATGACACAACCATAAACCAAGGAGATCAAACGGGGGCCGAATGTCGAAACTATAGCGATTACGGTAAGGAGGCAGCATACGGTCGATCTCCCAGAATTTACAGGGTGACGGATATCTACCACAGGAAACGCAACCCATCAGGCACGAGATGCTACGAGCATGTATGTGTAGCACTTCAGTTCATTTCCACACACACCCTAAAGCAACCATCATTTGATTAGACCCACTTGTTATCGACAACTCTTGCTGGGTGGTTCAGTCCCCTGCTAGTTCAGTGTGTCTTCTGGAGTCGCCGCCGGAGAAGCTAGAGTCACCTCCTGCTTGGTGGTCACTGTCAGAGAAGCTCCAGTTCCTGCCGGTGGGTCTGGCAGAGTGTCATCGCCTGGATTCATCGACTGAGATGCTTTAGAAATGCAGAAAAATACATAAACTTGTTATCTTGCATGTTATGATACACTAGTAGAAAACAGAGCTTTGGTCACAGCTCAATGTACACAATAGTCCCGGTTGCATTACGAACCGGGACTAATGTGAGCATTAGTCCCGATTCGTGCGGCTAGGGCGTCGGGAAGACATTAGTCCCGGATCAAATCGGACCTTTAGTCCCGGTTTGAGACACGAACCTACTCCCCCTCCCGTGTATCACCGTTTTAGTTTAAAAAAAGAAAATGATAAAAACTTCAAAAAATAAAATCCTTCGAGATGTAGTTATATTACTACATCTACTAGTTAGGAAAATTAAAAAACTTAAATTTGGACATGTTTTGCAAAAAAGTGTTATGAAAAAGTAAAACGGCTATAACTTTTGCATACGATGTCGAAAAAACGTATAATATATCAAAATGTTCAGCACAAAAATCCGCATCCGATTTTGACTGCCGTAGGCCGTTTTGAAATTTTTTAGAGTCCTCAAATTCTAAAAGGAAAGAAAGTTATGCTCAAATTTCATTTTTTTTGAATTTTGGTTAAATCTGGTCAAACTATGGTCAAACTACTTATTCAAGAAGTATTAGTGTTACTAAATAATTATTCAAGAATATTAGTGTTACTAAATAATTATTTCAGTTTTTTTAAATTTTGGTCAAATGTGGTTAAACTATGATCAAACTACTTATTCATGAAATATTAGTGTTACTAAATAATAATTATTATTTAGAATAATAGTTTCAAACTAAAACAGTGAAACGTGTGACTTCATGCTCAAGCTAAACTCCTGAGGTTTAATAGGATTGACATCTTACTATTGTCAGGAAAACAACAAGTGCATACTTGGAAACTAGGGGGAATAGAACTCGGAAGTTAAGCATGCTCAGGCTGGAGTAGTGACAGGATGGGTGACCGGCCGGAAAGTTAGACGATTTGAAATGATGAGGGGTGATCAGAGATTAAATTATAAAATAATTCAGAAAATTGAAAATTGAGAAAAACATTCAATTTTTTTTCAAAATTTCCCTACGAACCGGGACTAAAGGTGGAGCTCCAGACAGCGGTCACGTGGAGGGCCTTTAGTCCCGGTTCCAGAACCGGGACTAAAGGCCCTGTGAAACCGGAACTAAAGGCCCGTTTTCTACTAATAATGGGATGCCAAATCTCTTTGATATATAGGTGAAACTCATGATAATTAAGTACATGATCCGTGTAGTTATGCAAATGATGATTATATGCATCAACGTAGGGTAAAAAGTTGCTAGATATATGGTTTGTGTGACAGGGATTATGGAAATTTCAAAAGCACCTTATCTGTAGAATCTATTTTCTTATGTCAAAATAGTTTGACAAAACAACCTATCCGAAATAATTACAAGTGATGGGAAGGGAGAATGAGTAACAAACTAGTTTTTGCAGCTTATGAATTATGGATTATGGATTATGGTAATACCAATTGAAAAACTCATTATGTATGCTCACTTTTAGATTTGAGGTGTTTAGTAAAGATTAGGTATAATCACTTTTAGATTTGAGGTGTTTAGTAAAGATTAGATGAAGAGAGACTCCAGTCGGCGGATCCAAGTACATCAGGCCTGATGATGATGCAAATGTACGTATATAAAATTATTCAAAGGTAGTATACCGTTGGACGCATTTTGAGATCCACACGGCGTAGAACACCAATTAAAGACGCATCGGCACACAAAAAACTAAGGCAGGCGCACCCAACTCCTGCATGCATGTGTCGGCATTCTCTGCACCATGCTCTTGAGCTGATACAGTAATAGTACTAGCTTTCGGTCGTCGATCGGGTCGATTCCTTGCGTGTTGCTTCAGTATTACTCCCTCCGTTCCGAATTACTTATCTTGGATTTGTCTAGATACGGTCTAGATACATTCGTATCTAGACAAATCCAAGACAAATAATTTAGAACGGAGGGAGTATTTAGTAGCAAGTGGGTGGCCAGCGGGTCCTCCTTTACTTTGTCTCTCTTTTGATCTTTTCCAAAGCACCAGATAACCCCAGCAGCCTTTGCCTGCCTCCCAGGTCACACAGAATCTTTTTTTTTTTTTACACCTGTGTTTGGTGGTCTGTGAAGTTACAAAGAGCCCATGTTTTCCTTTTTTGAGAATCACAAATGGTGTTTGTTGGCAGGGTGCACACAACTTGATAACCTTGCATTAGTAGTGTACATATGCGGGCGGACGCGCCTATATCTCGCTTCAGCGAGTCTGGCTTCGGACTCGCTTAAGGGGCGAGCGAGCTGGGCCGGCCCACGAGCGCGGGAGGCCACAGCCTCTTTTTCCTGTTTCTTTTTTTTATGATTTATGCTTTCTTTATTAATTTATTTTTGTACTATTGTTTATATTTTAAAATATTCTAAATATATATTACAAAAACACTGTTCAAAAGACATTTGAAAAATGTTGAAAAATATTTCAAAAATGTTGAACAAGTATTTGAAAAAAAATGTTGATCGTGTATATAGAACTGTTGAATAAGTATTTAAAAAATGTTGAACAATTATTTAAAAAAATATTGAACAAGTATATAAAATGTTCAACAAGTATTTGAATTTTTTTGAACAAGTATTTAAAAGAATGTTGATCATGTATATAAAATGTAGAATGAAAAACAAAAAGAAACAAAGAAAAATAAAAAATGAAAACTGAAAAAGAAAAAAAATGGAGAAGAAAAAAGAAAACAAACAAAAAATGGAGAAGAAAAAAGAAAACAAACAAAAAATGGAGAAGAAAAAGGAAAAGAAACAAATAAAAACCAAAGAAAACTAACTTGAATAGCTCAAGTAGGATTCACCCCTTGTTCTAATAGCGAAGAATACTTGGGCGGAGTGGTTATCTGAGCACGGGATCTCCCGGGAGACCATGGATCAATCCTAGCTTCTCGAACACATTTCGTCGACAAACCCCTCCCGCAGGCCAAGACGACGCCCGATGAGCGTCGAGACATCAGTTCCACATTTGGAAATTGGGTTGACTTCTTTCAAAAATGAAGTTGTTCCTTTGCTTCCACATTTGCCATGCCCCTATGATGAACACTAGATAAAGTTGTTTGGGAAAGATTGTCTGAGTGAGTGTGAGAGACGCAACACTCAATGGATATAAGCTTTTCAACATTTTAGTTATTTTATATGCCATGTTCTATCAATCTAGTGGCTCCATCATAAACGGAAAATAGGTTCCACGCTGACAAGGGATTTGTTTTCCACCGTGCTCATAAGCATAGAACAACATTGGGGGACGACTTGTGTAGAATCTGAGCTTGCTGTACAAAAATAGAAAAAGACATCCTGGACCACTAGATTGGAGATCAATGGTGCAGATTTAGGTGGAGGGATCTCAGCCCACTTACTGTAGGTTTTGCAGAAAACCCCCTACTGGCAGTTAGACATATGAAATAGGACATTTGCATTATGCACCTCAAGTCTTTGTGAAATACAACTATTTTCAGATATGAAATGTGCTAATGCCCATATCGTCTTAGTCTGAAACAACTGGTCTCATATAAAATCTGAGCAAATATTTACTGCGTGGAATCCAGACACAGACACCACTAATTTTTCAAGAGAGCTGAACATCTTGGTCACTGAGAAACGACAATATATATCACAAATATTTTAGCACATGAGATAATACGTGATCCTGGGTCAAGTAGAACCACACGTACATGTCAAACTGGAAATATAGCAATTTAAGGATTGATAGCTGCTCGGCAAGCATTTCAGTACTCGAGTACATGAGAACACATCACAAAAGGCTAGTAGAACTGGAAGTAGAGCAAATTAAGGACTGGAATTATCAGTGCTTAGCAAGCATTTGAGTACTTGAGTACATGTGGCATACAGATTATTTTTAGTATATGGCCGGCAAGACCAAGTGGTAAAGACTGAAATTATCATCGCCCAACAAGCATCTTGCTGGTACAAGAACGAAAATATCTATCATTTTGCCTCGTGTTAGTGCTTCCTGGCAATCGAGCTTCCTGCTGGGAGAGAGATGACAACCTCCATGGACACTTGATCAGTTCGATCTACCTAGGTAAACACACCAAGTAAATAGGGGTCAGTCAGAAACATATACCAAGTAAATAGGGGTCAGTCAAAAACATATACTAAATAGCATATCTTGAGAAGAGAAATAATCATTATATATGTCCAGCTTCTTTCAGCACTCCAACCTAGGAAACATAACTTATACTATGTCAAAACTTAGGTTGAACCTCAAACATATTAATACATATGTAACCAATCAGGATAACTTTGTAGGTCAAGCTGGCTTTCCAGCTTCTACAGGGGATTTTCCAAATAAAATAAAATGGCATGTGATAGTTGGATATGTCTAACAGAGAGAGTACAATTTTTTTGTTGCAGCATAGTTCATTATTTCATTATAGACCTACAATAAATGGATTATAATTCCAAGGTTAGTTAAAAGCACAAATGAGAACGACAAATAAGTGGCATTGAACAATTTAAAGGGAGTTTTATGAATGCCCTGCAGATGCAAATTATTATTCAAATTTGATAGCTATAAACAAAACTTGATGGCATGCATTATATTATACCTTGTAATAATAAGAAAACCACAGCAGCACGGGAAAATATAAATGAACAAGATGCCAGATAGGCTCATGCCATGGATGAAGGATTAGTACTAAATCACATACACACATCCTTGATTTTGAACACTGTTGACCGATTCCATGGCTGCAAACAATTTTTTTATCAACCAACATCACACAAGGGATTAACATAATGTTAGATACATCAGGATATCTTGACTTCCTCGTACCGCTATTCTCACACGTGATAGTGCTGGTGCACATGCTGCGATCATTGGAATTGAGGGCTCTCCTAGCGGAGACATCGCACTGCTACCCTCCATTACTGGATCCTGAGATGAGAATTGCAAATTTAGACTGGGGATCATCTTTTCCATGTCAAACTTCTGCCACATGGGCCATATCAAAGGCATGGCTTATGGGAAGCATTCTATTATAGGGAAATGTAATTAATTACTCTGGTACAAAAAGCTAAACAAAAGGACAAGAAAATATTCATGTGCATAGAAATACTGGAGTGAGCACCCAGCCAATAACAAATGTCAAAATTTTGGGGATGAAAGATCAGCAGTAAGCATTAAAAAGGAATTGCCAACCCAAGGAATCCCCTAGCAGAACATGCAATGGCATATTTGTGTCTATTCATCGCAATAGGAGGAAAAAGGATTGCATGCAATTGACAAAAGAAAAACAACAATAATTAGCTCTGTAGTGGGAACAATAACTGTCACAAGTGTGAGTGATTGGACATGGTGATACCTTGTGCCACTGTCGAAATAAGGAACAGATCAAAGAAGAAAAACATCAACTGTATATATGCATCTGAATATGTATCTTTGCATGGAGAGAAAAAAATAGCCATTGTGTCTCACGTGTGTGCGCGTCGGCTTGCCTCTGAAGAATCGACGAAGCCAGAGCAGCCTACTTCCTGTACTAGTGCATCTCGCCGGAATAGCTAGATTTGCTAGTGTATTGCTTCATGCTAGAAATCGGTTAGCGTTTATGTACAGTCGGTACACGTGCTGCTTCTGGTAGCAATACACAATACCATAACTAAGTCATAGCACTAATCAGCATGCTGCTTCTGGATAAAATAAGAATCCAACCAACATAAGCATCACCAGAATGGATCTGCTTCTATTCTACTCAAGCTGCTGTTCATTCTTCTGCTGTTACTACTCCAGCAACTGAAATGAAAAGGATTTGACATTAACAAGTAGAAAGAATATAAAACTATGGAGATGTAGTATCAATCTACTAGCTAATAAAAAATTAACATTTATATTTACCTGCAGAAGGAAGAACCGTGGCGGCCTGTTCGCAGAACCAGAGAGCGGCCGGCTGGGAAGGAGGCGAGGATCCACGAGCGTTGAGCTAGTGCTGAATCGCGAGAGGGGGTGGGGGTGGAGGAGGACGGCCGCGAGCTGATCTGGGAGCCTGAGAGTGGGGAGGAGGTGAGGAATCCGATCTAATCTGCCTCAAACTGCGCCACCTGCGACGAAACGGCTAGGACCTAGGAGCCATCGGAGAGGAGATGGATCGGCATCTTTGCTGCGCGAGCCCGCCCAGCTTGGCTCAGGATCTTGGTCGTCGCCGTCGCCGCTGCCGCCGAGAAATTTTCGATCCTGTGTCGTCGGTGTGTAAGGATTTGGTACAGACTAGGGAGGGCACCGAGTGCAAATTTGCTTGTATGTTGGACCTCTTTGCAAATTTTGTGCGAAGATCCCTCCATCCAGACCCGTGCCATTGATCTCTCATCCAATGGCCCAACATCGTCTTTTCTATTTTTTCACTACAAGCTCAGATTCTACACAAGTCGTTCCCCCAACATTGTCCCTCTCCACTGAAACAAATTTCAGATTCTGCATCTCCTCGGAAAAAAAAAAGGAAAATCAGAATTTGTACGGGCCAGGACAAGGATAACTGTATGGTAATCACAAACTTCTGTACTTCAGTGGCATGAGACCAACGGAAAAGATACAAGAATGCTAAAGCGTCTTTTAAAACATCCTAGTACTACGACAAAACAATTTGTAATGGCAAATACACAAAAGTGCTTCAGTAGCGGGCATCTCACAGCCTGTTACTGAAAATGGTCCAACCCGATGAACC